CGCCAATGTGTTCTTCCTTCACAGATATATAGGAAGCTAGAAGTCAATTAAATGGAAAGCACTTGGATAATCACCAACTACTTTGAAATTCAGCATGTACCTAAAGGAAAAGGAAACAAAGAAAGGAAAAAAACCTATGCATCAAGAAGAAAAACACAATGAGCATTAGAGTGCATTACCATTACCCTAAGTCTTCCTATCCATCAAATCACTTGAGGTAGAAGAAGGATTCACCTTAGTTCTCTTAATTGCCAAACAGCCTCCTCTTATTTTGATGCAAAACGATAGGGACAGGTCCCACTGTGACATCTGCGTGTTTACACTTCAACCACCCTGGTTAAAAGGAAGAACTTCAACAGAAACCCACAGGCACACAATCACACCACCTTCCCCCTCAATCACCAGGCTGCATGACACAGGAAGGCTGTTATTGGCTGAGCCCTGGTCACCCCACCACCCTTTGGGCCAATGGCCGTGGATCCTGCGCTGCCAGTTTCTTATTGGCTGCTGCTAGCAGAGGCTGGGAGCACAGCTGCTCTCATTGGATGACCCCGTCATCCAGGCATAATTGCAGTGCAGGAAGCCTTTTGTGTCAAAAGGGAAAGATGGTAGGCTACCAAGGCACAAAATCAGAAAAATTTGAATGAAGTAAAGTAGGGCTTTCTTTATTCTATTTATTTATTTATTTATTATTATTTTTTTATTGTGTTTTATTAGTCACCTAAAGTAGGCCTTTCACAAGGTCAGGAGCTTGAGTAGGGCATGATTCTGGATAGTTTGAGTTTCCTGCACGGTGTTTGGGTCTTCTTCCATGTATTTCACTGAATTAGGATGAGGGGATACGTTGAGGGATTGTGAATGGGGTTACTGTGAGTTTTGTATCTGCTACAGCGCTTCACTTGTTGCTATATCAACACACTCGAAAATTCTCTAGACGATACTACTCTACACAAGTGGGAGAAGGAGAATACAAAAGGCAAGTAAAATTATTGTGGACCCAGCTGTGACGGACTCCCAAAGACGCTGACCTGAAGGAATGGGCCACTTAGGAAAGTGATAAAATGCGACATGGTCAAAGAAAATCATAACAGACTGCAGCACACACATATATTAAAGTGGACTTGCTCACGGTAAAGGAGTTTGAAGAACGGACAGAATGGCACAGGTCCAAACGCTAGAGTAGGTGGCACTCTGGAGAGTTACAGGTCTCTTTGTGCCAAGTGAGGTGGCTCTGAAAAGAGCCTTTGGTTTGCGAGGTGGTCAGGCGGTCCTGAGGCAGCTCATTGGCGGAGGGTGTACCTCATGATGGCCTTGCTGGCCTCAGACATGGCGAACTTGCCAATCTCCCCGGGCAGCAGCAGGCACACGGCTGTCTGGATCTCCCTGGAGGTGATGGTGGAGCGCTTGGTGGTGCGGACCAGGTGAGAGGCCTCGCTGGTGATGCGCTCGAAGATGTCCTTGACGAAGGAATCCATGACACTCACGGCCTCCTGCGAGAGGCTCAGGCCGTCGTGAACATTCCTCAGAACCCTGGGGAAGTAGGTGGCGAAACTGCCGGGGTGGCGGCGGCCTCCATGCCTCGGCCAGACCTACCACCCTCAAAGCATCTTCTACCCTGGAACATCTAGTAGGGGCCTCCGCCTCAGCCAGCAACCTCCAAAAGCAACTTTAACCCTAGGAGAGCCAGCCATGCCAACCAGTGCATCAGAACCAGGTTCTGATGACTAGGTGTATTATACTTCTGGGACCCATGGGATACCTTCTATACAAGGTCATTCCTTTAAGCTGGGAGACATAGTTGATCTTCCCAATACATAGAAACACAGAGTCAGGCAAAATGAGGAGACAGAAAAATATGTTCCAAATATAAAAACAAGACAAAAGCTCAGAAAAAGAACTAAAGGAAACAGAGATAAGCAACTACCTAATAAAGAGTTCAAAGTCATAGCCATAAAGATGCTCACCAGACTCAGAAGAAAAATGGATGAACACAGTGAGGACTTCAACAAAGAGATGAAAAATATGAAAAAGAACAAACGAGCTGAAGAATACAATAATAAAAGTTTAAAATACACTAGAGGGAATCAATAGCAAATTAGATAATGGAGAGGAATGGATTAGTGATCCAGAAGACGGGGTAGTATAAATAATGAAAGGGAAAAAAATTGTGCAGCAGAAACAACAACAACAAAAATTTTTTTTAAGAAGGAGTGGGGGGAGGAGGGGCTAAAGCAGAGGGAGAGAGAAAATCTTGAGCAGGGTCCACACCCAGTGTGGAGCGCAACACAGGGCTTGATCTCACAACCGTGAGATCATGACCTGAGCCAAAATCAGGAGTCAGACCCTTAACTGACTGAGCCACCCAGGCACCGCAACAACAAAAAAAATTAATGAAGATAGTTTAAAGGACCTCTGGAACAACATCAAGCATACTAACATCTGCATGATAGGGGTCTCAGAAATAGAAGAGAGAGAGAAAAGGCCAGAAAACTTATTTGAAGAAATAAGAGTGGAAAACTTTCATAGCCTAGGGAAGGAAACAGACATCTAGGTACATGAACTACAGAGAGCACCAAACAAGTAGAACCCCGAGAGGTCCACACCATGACACATTATATAATTAAAATGTCAAAATTTAAGGTAAAGAAAAAATATTGAAAACAAAAAGGTAAAAGCAACTAATTACATGCAAGAGAGCTCCTATAAGGTCATCAGCAGATTTTTCTCAGCAGAAACTTTGCAAACCGGAAGAAAGTGGCACAGTATATTCAAAGTGATGAAGGGAAAAAACCTACAACCAAGAATACTCTACATGGCAAAACTAACATTCAGAATTGAAGGAGAGATAAAACATTTCCCAGACAAACAAAAGTTAAAGGAGTTCATCACCACTAAACCAGTTTATCAAGAAATGTTAAAGGAACTTCTTTAAGCAGAAAAGAAAAGACTATGACTACAAGTAAGAAAATTATGAGAGAAAATTATGAAAGAAAAAGTCTCACTGGTAAAAGCAACCACTTATGAATCTAATATGATGCTAAAAACCAAAAGTAGCAAAATTAACTATATCTACAATAATTAGTTTAAAGATATATGAAATAAAAATATGCAAAACATAACATAAAATATAAAATGAGGGGAGGGATTAAAAATATAGTGTTTTTAGAATGCATTTGAACTTAAGTGACCATCAACTTAAAATAGACTTTTATACACTTAGGTTGCTATATATGAACTTTATGATATCCACAAACCAAAAACTTAGAGAAAAAATAAAGAGAAAGGAATCCAACCCTAACACTAAATAAAGTCATCAGTCACAAGGGAAGAGAGCAAGAAAAGAAAGAAGCAAAGAAGAAAAAAAAGCAACCAGAAAACAATTAACAAAATGGCAAAAAGCACATACCTATCAAGAACTACTTTAAATGGAACAAATGCTCTAATTAAGAGATTGGGTCACTGAGTGGATTAAAAAAAAAAAAAGACCCATCTATATTCTGCCTACAAAGATTCACTTCAGATCTAAAGACAAACACAGACTAAAAGTGAAGGGATGGAAAGACATTCTATACCAATAGACATGAAGAAAAGCTGTGGTAGGAATACATATATTAGATAAAATAGACTTTAAAAACTGTAACAAAATACAAATAAGGGCATTATCCAATCCAACAAGAAGACGTAACAATTATAAATACCTATGCACCCAACATAGAAGCACCTAAACACATAAAGCAAATATTAACAGACATAAAAGGAGAAATGGACAGTAATACAGTAATAATAGGGAACATTAACATCCCACTTACATCAATGGATAGATCATCCAGATAGAAAATCAACAAGGAAACAATGGCCTTCAATGACACACTAGACCACATGGACTTAATAGATATATACAGACATTCTTTTTTTAAATTTTTAAATTTTTATTTAGTTTTTAGAGAGAGAGGGAGAGTGTGCATGGGGTGGGGAAAGGGCAGATGGAGAGAGACAGAGAGAATCTTAAGCAGGCTCCACACCTAGCATGGAGCCCAATGCGGGGCTTGATCTCATGACTCTGAGATTATGACCTGAGCCAAAATCAAGAGTCAGATGCTTAACCAACTGAGCCACCCAGGCACACCATATACAGAACATTCTATCCAAATACAGAATCATACACATTGTTTTCAAGTGCACATAGAATATTCTCCAAGATAGATCACATGTGAGGCCACAAAACAAGTCCCAAAATGTAAGAAGACTGAAATCATGTTGAGCATCTTTCTTGACCACAACAGTATGAAACTAGAGATCAATCACAAGGAAAGAAACTGGAAAAAACACAAACACATGGAAGCTAAACAATATACTACTAAAAGACCAATGGATCAATAAAGACCAATGGATCAATGAAGAAATCAAAGAGAAAATTTTAAATATACCTTGAGACAAACAGAAGTTAAAACAAAACATGCAAAATTCTATGGGACATAGCAAAAGCAGTTCTAAGAGGGAAGTTTATAGTGATACAGGGCTACCTCAAGAAACAAGAAAAATCTCAAATAAACAACCTAACCTTACACTTAATGGAACTAGAAAAAGAGCCCAAAGTTAGTAAAAAGAAGGAAATAATAAAGATCTGAGCAGAAATAAATGAAATAGAGACTAAAAATACAATAGAAAAGATCAACAAAACTAAGAGTTGGTTCTTTTAAAAGATAAACAAAATCGATAAGCTTTTAGCAACACTTATCAAGAAAAAAAGAGGGCCCAAATAAATAAAATTAGAAATGAAAGAGAAGTTACAACTGACACCACAGAAATACAAAGGATTATTAGAGACTACTGTGTATAATTATATGCCAACTAATTGGACAACTTAGAAGAAATGAAAAAATTCCCAGAAATATACCATCTTCCAAAACTGAATCATGAAGAAATAGAAAATCTGAATAGACAACTATTAGTAATGAAATTGAATTGTAATTTAAAAAAAAAACTCCCAACAAAAGTCAAGAACCAGATGTATTCACAGGTGAATTCTAACATTTAAATTAAAACATTTAGGGGTGCCTGGGTGGCTCAGTCAATTAAGTGGCCAACTCTTGATTTTGGCTCAGGTCATGATCTTAGGGTCCTGGGGTCGAGCCCCTAGTCAGGCTCTGCACTCAGGGGGGAGTCTGCTTGAGGATTCTCTCTTTCCCTCTCCCTCTGCCCCTCCCCCTGCTCATGCTCTCTCTCTAAAATAAATAAATCCTTTAAAAATTGAAACACTTAAAGAATTAACACCTATTCTCCTCAAACTATTTCAAAAAGTAGAAGAGGAAAGAAAGCTTCCAAATACATTCTACAAGGCCAGCATGACTTTGAACCCAAAATCAGACAAAGACACTATTAAAAAAGAAACTACGGGCACCTGGGTGGCTCAGTTGGTTAAGCGACTGCCTTCGGCTCAGGTCATGATCCTGGAGTCCCGGGATCGAGTCCCACATCAGGCTCCCTGCTTAGCAGGGAGTCTGCTTCTCCCTCTGACCCTCCTCCCTCTCATGCTCTCTGTCTCTCATTGTCTCTCTCGCAAATAAATAAAAAAATCTTAAAAAAAAAAAAAAAGAAACTACAGGCCAACACCCCTAATGAAAATACATACAAAAATCCTCAACAAAATATTAGCAAACCACATTCAACAATACGTTAAAAGGGTCTTTCATCATGATCAAGTGGGATTTACTCCAGGGATAGAAGGATAGCTCAATATTTGCAAATCAATCAATGTGATACACCATATTAACAAAATGAAGGATAAAAATCATATGATCATTCCAACAGATGCAGAAAAAGCATGACAAAAATCAATATCTGTTCATGATAAAAATTCTCAAGAAAGTGAGTTAAGAAAGAACATACCTCAACATAATAAGACCATATATGACTACATGGCTAACATTATACTCAATAGTGAAAAAATAAGAGCTTTTATTCTAAAATCACAAATAAGACAAAAATGTCTACTCTTATCACTTTTATTCAACATAGTACTGGAAATCCTAGTGACAGCAATCAGATAAGAAAAAGAAATAAAAGGCAACCAAATTGTAAGAAAGAAGTAAAACTGTCACAATTTCCAAATGGCATGATACTAAATATAGAAAACACTAAAGACTTCACCAAAAAACTATTAGGAGTAAAAAATGAATTCAATACAGTTACAGGATACAAAATTAACATACAGAAATATGTTGTATTTTTATACACTAATAATGAAATAGCAGAAAGAGAAATTAAGAAAAAATCCCATTTACTATTGCACCAAAAAGAATAAAATACTTAGGAATAAACTTAACCAAGGAGGTAAAAGACCTATACTCTGAAAGCTATAAAACACTGATGAAAGAAATTGAAGATGACACAAATAAATGGAAAGATATTCCTTGCTCATGGATTGGAAGAATTAATATTGTTAAAATGTCCATATGAGACAAAGCAATCTACAGATTTGATGAAATCCATATCAAAATAACAATAGCATTTTTCACAGAACTAGAACA